GACAGACAGAGAACTTTCAGGCAGAGCACATCAATAACGAAGTTGAAGAGGAACGTCAGTGGAGGGAAGCCATGTCTTACACCACTGGACATAATGAAATCAGGCGAAAGCTTATCCTATACTCGTACGAGCTCATAGGAGCTCGCATACATAAGGAATAGAAATTTAGAAAGAGCTCCTTTGACCGCTAGACGTCACCTAAGTTTCTGGGAATCGACAGATTCAAGAGCAGCCTTCAGGTAGAGGAAATCGACCAACGTGGGGTGCTTGAAGGAGCGGCGCTGTTGAAGAACTTGTCCTAGGGTTAATATATGGTCAATGCATCCCTGATCACGGTTAAACCCAGCTTGATTCTCACGAATCTGTCTTGATAATCGATCAATCTGCACAAAATAATGCCAGAAAGCACTTTCGATGTGATGGATAAAAGGTTGATGCAGCAATGTTTTTCACATGACTTTCTTGCGTCCTTTTTGAGCTCTATTCGTTTCAAGTCTTCTGAAGTATGGAAATCTGGCTGTTTACCAGGAACTCACCACCTTTGAAGATGGCGGCTGGGTGCAGACCATCCGGACAAGGTGCCTTGTGGAGTTGAATGAGATCAGCTGAACTGTTCATTGTTTTGTTCAGCCAGTTGCTCAGGACGACGATTTTTTGAGTGATTACCTTTCCGTCTTTTTCGCATATCGTTCCGCTGACACTTGTCCTCTTCTGACCGGTTGATCAAATCAGATGAAATACGGCGCAGTAGTTGCCCGCGTCGAAAGCCTTCTCCATCTCTTGCGCCTTTGCAATCCACCAGCGTTCGCTGTCATTATTCAAGTTCCTGCAAGTCGGGTGTTTGAGGGATCTGCATGCGTTGTCACAGACCCTAGTTGCTGTTATGTCTTGGACAGACAGTTTTTAAAGCTAGGAGCATAGCTTGTTTAACCCGTTCCCATTAAACGTCCAAGCAACTTCCGTCATCCGCATGACTGGGTGTTTCCAATAGCTTTCCAGGCAGATCAGCTCGATACTGTTGAGGACTGAAACCTGTCGAAGTTGATGAACGGGACTGCTCTGCTTTGGCATGTGTAAGGCCGACGGAAAGCGTAGTGATAACCGGGTTTGCACAGTGGCATGATCAGAATCAAGTTATGTCCCCACGGAAGGAAAAAAACAAACTTTAATTGAGGCTTTCTATCGGTACCTGATGGCTACATGGTTCAATTTAATTCATGGCTATCTTGCGGCTGGTGGTCTCCAAGTAGGTCTATGTGGGATGGAAGTTTGTACTTGCTAGGAACGGACGATCTACACATATCTGAAGAAGTCACTCTCCATTATCCGCACTATCAGCAACGACTCCCAATCTTCCAGCTAACTGTGCTTCCGGGATAATTCGTCCAAGTTGTGTATTCAGGGTTGCTCTATCCGTTCTTGCTGACCGAAGAAATCATGACAGATCTTAAAAAAACACGTCCTTGTCAGTCTCAGAACTGCAGTCTGTCGGGTGTATGACGATACGACAAATAAACACCGTTCACTGCATCCACCTGGATTGATCTTAATTGAGCCAGACACAAAGACGACTCTTTGTTGGGATCCAGTCAAATAATATGACTACGACAAACGGTGCGGTAATCTGAAAAAATTGTTAGGTCCGGTATTTCAATGTAACTAATGAGTGGATATCGGTTTCGGTAGCTTTTAATCGGACTAATCATTCCTTTTTTTTCCCGGATGAAATAATGGTACGGCGTTTGATATCGCCGTCATGGAAAGCTGTTGGTTACCCTGGATATGACAGTTTGTGTGCCTCCGACACAGCTAGCTGAGGGGAGAGAAGGTTGTCCGTACGACTCTCACAGTCTCTTATACCATGTTGGTCAATGGTCAGAGCTCCGAGCAGCGCAGTTTCTTCGCCCTCCATGTTGGAACGTGTGTGGCGACTTGTTCTTTAAGAAAATGTAATGGCGCTTCCCGCCAAGCACCGTTGTCTTGCGGTTAGGCTTCCTAGTTAAATACTTTGGTTGAGGATCCTAGTCGTCCTTTTGTCTAGGTCTGGACACTCTGACAGCATCCCAGCCCACCTACAACCATGAGACTTACAAATAAAAGTATGAAACAACGAGGCATCAGTGCTGAACACTGATGCTGTGCTGTCGATGAGGCTTGACGTTAGATACATCGTTTGCGCTTACAAAAAACGCCTGTCAACTTACATGTAACCCGGTGACAGCTGCCAGTTAAAATTGTGAAAATTGTTGGAAATTCGACGTCGGTTGTGGTTAGTGTTCGATGGGTTTGGATGGAGAAAAAATGGTTTTTACACCCGAGAGTCGAGATGGACTTGACTGTAACATAGATGCGAAACAAGGGTCAAAAGTGTTGGTTTCCCTAGAATCGATTGATGAAAAGCTCCCTGTGACTCGGGAGTTAGAACAGCAAGGTCTAAATCAGAGAGGGCGCTTCAGCCAGTCCGCTGCTACCTTAAAATCTGGGCTGAAATGTACTTTCCCCCCAAAAGACACAGGGCTCATCCAATAAATCCACTCATTTGAAAAGTACGGTGGTTGTAACTGGATACCCAACTGAACTACAGCTGAAGCTCTCGTTTACGATATCCAACTGAATGTGTTCGTTCAGTATTCCAGAGCATAATAATCATAAGGGTTGTGCAAAGCTGCCCTTCTTGAGGCTCATCCGGTAGGCGCAGTCGTCCAGCTGTTCCAAGTTGCACGCAAAGAGGTGAGTGGTTGATACTTCCTGGGAATGAGTACAATAAATTTTGGTGAGAATAATCGTTTTAGGTTGTCCACAATTATAGTCTCCCTTAGAAGATCCCGACCTCACAATTTTGAGCAATAAAGAAGCGTTTCCGTTATTCCAACATGAGGTACAAGGAGCTATTGTTCCTATGCGCACCTTCATTGACCAAATTGTCCCTTTGAAACTCTGACGGTGGTTTCCCACGTAAACTCGAGTGACCCAAGAAGAGGAAAACTGGTAATGGGCTATGGAACAATTTTCAACAACCTTATGAGTAGTGTATACCACTATAAACAGTTAATTCACTGTTCCAAATTTCATTAACATCCATCTTGAAATTACTTTTGGATGGAACTATTTTTTGGTCAACAGTTTTAGTTGTGACGGCGGTCTGCCGCATTCAGTGTTCAGGATCGAAGTGATGCCGATTGATAATTCTGACTGTTCGTGCTCTCATTCATGTAAAATTTACACATGCCAGCCGACAAAACCGAGATAATTTTTGTAAATATTTGGCGCTTCGACACCCAAAGATGACTTCAAGAAGGTCTACCACCAGCCAAAAACGCATGAGCATTGCATGAACCATAACCTGCTCATTTGACAGTTGCAGAGTCTGCTGTGAAATAATCATTGTTTAGTAGTAAATGTACAGTTAGGGTAAGCTACGCTGTCTCTCCTTTCTCACTCCTGTCTCCTGTCTCTCACTGTCTCTCCAACTTGAGCCTGGTTACAAATTAATATTTGTATAGAGTAAGGGAACATAGACGCAAAACATGGGAGCATTCGTAAAACAAAACACGCTACTGTAGCTTTTCCGTGTACCGGATTTGCTCACAGCTGGCTTGTTATGGAAAAGAAACCTGATTCAAAGGATTCCATTGTCGTATGACACAACATGAACAGAGGTCTCAAACGCTTGCCCTCTGAGACACCTAAGATGAAGCCAAGTGAAGGAGCATTCAGCACTCAAAACGTGGTACTTATTTAAAACAGTCGAGAACGTTTGAAAGGACTTGATTTGATTCGTGCACTTCGGTGACCAAACGACCGGGCAAACGCGCAGGGAGAGTAGACTTTCGTGACAGAAACTGGAAAAAACGAAGGAAGTAGAATATGCCTTCTTTTTGGTTTTATGACTGCCACACTGATGAAGAAACACTTGTTACAGGTAACCTCATTTGGCCCCAATCAAAAGTTATGGTAGTACGCTGCTTGAGGCATACTTCTTGGGGACCTTGAGGTGTTTAAGGGTAAGTAGGTAGTTACTGACTAGAAATTTCTCACTTCCAATTTTTTGTCGTTTCACTGCTTTAAGAATCCGTGCACTTTAGAAACAATGGGCACAACATTAACAACGCAGTTAGCACCTAGGCGTTGGATCACTCTTCATTCCACCGTCGGATTAGTGCAGTCTAAAAAGTAACATGGAGCTGACATACCAGGATTACGTGGCACGCTTGCCACAGAATACGCCAGCGGTTGACAGCTGATGGGAAAGTCTTGTCAGACTTCCTTATAGCCTAGCCACTAAACGCTGTATTTTTCAAGACGGGTTGGGATCCACATAAAAATACCACCCAACTTAGTTGGGCAGTCATATTTCTAGGAATAATGCGCTGATCCAAGCTAACTTCCACTGGCAATCAAGTAGCGAAAGTTGAGCGGCCCAAAACATGATTACATATCTGGGATTCGGAGAGTCTTGAACTGGATCCTTCCAAATCACGCTTTTGGTGCTGCAGACAAGAACTAAGCGATAATCGCGCAACCAGCTGTCTCATGACGCAATAACGAAAGGTCACCTTTCGGGTAAAACGAGTGGAACGGCGTGTGTTATTTGCTCAATGACGAAATATCGAGGAATATTCCACTGAGATGAATGCTCGTCTTCAGGACCCGCTCAATGCATCGTAACCCAGACATGAAAAGTATGATGAAAAATTGAGATAGTATAATGTGACTCACTAAATCGTCCAGGCAATCAGACAGCTAGCGACTTCACCTATTCACTTATTCAGATGTTTTTTGGTTCACTCTAGTTGTCATTCAGGAGACTCTTAACATGCCTGTTTTCATTTCTTCTTTAATTTCAGGAAGAATTTTTCATAAAGCCAAGTCCACTGGAGCGTTTGATGCGTACCTGTGACCGATTGTCACGTCAGCATCATCAATCACCCTTTAGTCACATTCTTCAGAGTACTAATACGTTGTCCGAAACATGTGACAACTATACGGCGCTCACACCAATGAAAAACCCTTTGTTTTTGGGGCTGCTTTCAGGGGTAACCCCCTTGAATACATTTGCTTGTGGCCCACTAGACTACAAGAATCTTTACTCACCACGTGACTCCTTCGTCCAAGGGTACAAGCAGTCAAACCACCACCCTCTTCAAAGTGCAAACACACATTCATTTTCACCAGATTTGTTTTCTGCATTGCTCGGATTTGAAACTGCTCGCTTTCTGGCCTCAGTGCCACGGGAAACAAGAGGTTTTGTCATTTCATCGCAGTTAGAAGACGGCGAGGGTCAGTGTGACGCGCCTGTGCATCCTCAGACATCGCCTACCTTGGGGTGTTCTTCAGCTCGTTCGAGCCAGCATGACCCCAGATCACAACCTTCATCCGAACCGGATAACGGTGACTGTGATGTATGCACTCAAACACAGTTACTGTTGGCGACAATGCACTTGTGGCAAATGGCACTCAATTTGACAGCTGCAGATCCAACAAATCAGTTTTATTTCCCACCTCGTGTGTCATCGATGCTACCCTTCCCAGATCAACAAACTGGCTACTATGGAGAAGATCCGGTGAGTGAGTACAGGATACCACTGATAGCTGGAAATTTATCAGACGTTGCTGCCGGAGAACAGAAGGGGCTAGACAGAGGGGAAAGCATTGCTACGTACAGTTATCCTGACCAGGTCACCTTCCACTCAGACACGCAACAAAGGACATCGATTCATCCATTAATCGGGCAGTATCACCGGACACACAAGCGTCGGCAGTGTGGTCAGTTAAATAGAAACCCACCCGAAGAATCTCAAACCTCGTCAGCTTTAATAGTGGAAGGAAACAAAGTGGACGCTTCAGATCAAGCAAGCGTCGACAAACGGACACCTACATCGACGCAGTCCGTAACATCACGCACCTCAGCCGCCAGCGACCCTCCTATGTTATGGTCCAACTTGGTACGCCTACTAACTGCCCCATCACTGACGTTTCCATGAGCTACTTCAGGGTAACTTCGTTCAAATTTTCTCCTTATTTCAAACAGGTTTAGCATAGGAATCAGTGACAAACACAGTTACACAAATCGCGAGCAGAAGAATAAATTTATCAGTCACTGATCTATCTGCGATGCACACCAAAAAACACAAACCATGTCAACCTGAGCAGTCATGATTAGATTACTGACAGTTATGCATTCACTTTTCTTTTCTCCTTGCCACGGGAGACAGTGATCCTTCGGTGGCAGAAACCGGCATCTTCCGAGTTGAGGGTTCGCAACTCAACTCGGCCAACATACTCTAGTGAAACTGGCAGATCCATGCAACCTCTCACGTCCGTAGAGGTGATGCAGTTTTCCAAGGAAAAAGGATTCTTCGTTTTCGAAAGTGCGTGTGACTTTGAGATGGAATTCAGATAACTACGTCTTTTTCGGGTTATTGGGCCCGTTTTTTCTCAGAATTTGTATCGGTAGAAAAAATATCCTGCTGAGATGTCTTGGTAAAAACCTAAAGGGTCCTCAATAGGAAGGGGGCCTTATAAGTGGTGTTGTGTCAACAGTCGATACTATTTTCACGCACTTTTATGCCTTTTGAGTCATACAATGTTCATATGGGAAGCGATGTACATGTGGACAGCGGGGGCTGAAAACTGTACAAGTGAATCAGCGATTCTTTGCATCTGAACCCCTATGAACAGGTTAAACGCAAGCAACGGCCTAACTGGAGTCGCAAATAGCCTTTACGTTGTCCATGGAATAAAAGTACATCATTGACGACATCTGTTTGCAGTGTTTGAATCTAAAGCTAATACAAACAGTGTATGCGGATATTTCAGTTAATAAGCGTGCAATGAGGAAAAGCTTGCTGAAATTCATGGGACACATCTATCTGATGAACCTCAAACAAGAAGAAACCGGAAGTATTAGTGAATATACACTAATTTGCAAACTAATTTGGTTCTTTCGAGAGACTCACCTGGAACCCAGCTGAATCTCTCGTTTTTGATGTTCTCAGGCAACTGAATGTGCTGCACCAGGCCGCCTCATGTTTCAGTCGCTACGATATTCAGTTGCCTGGAAATATCACAAACGAGACATTCAACTGGGTTCCAGCTGAGGTTGACGGAAACCCGGGGACTGTACCTACCTGATGAGCCCCTGAGGCGGCCTGGTGCAGCACATTCAGTTGCCTGAGAACATCAAAAACGAGAGATTCAGCTGGGTTCCAGGTGAGTCTCTCGAGAGAACCAAATTAGTTTGCAAATGAGTGTATATTCACTAATTTCGTGCAATTTGGTTTCAAGTAGAACATAAGGTTGACGGAAACCCGGGGACTGCACCTACCGGATGAGTCCCAAGAAGGGCGAAACCGCTCGTGGGCTGTCGATGGATTTTCAGCAACCTTATGAGTAGAACATTACAAAAAAACCGGAAGTATGTTAGAGGAGGAATATGTCGACATCTTAGGTATCAGCCCAACCAAATCTAGAGGCGGATTGGGTTGAAGAAATCTGTGAAGAAGAGACTCACTTGGGTCTCACTTTAAGACCAGTTTCGTATACTTATGAATGCTTCGTCAAGCAATGACGCTCAGTAAGAATTCGATAGGCATCGAGTTACTATGCGTAGGTTCATTTAATAGCCTTATTGCATTACATTCATGTTGCAATTCTGCGCACTGGTCCAGGTATCGCTACGGTGCTCGTACCTCAGGCTAAAGAATCGATCAGGCCTGTAACAGCTGACAGAGCACCAGCCGACAGACAGTATTGGTGAATGTGGGTAGGTACCATTGTGTTGTCTCTCGTCAGGGAGTGAAACCATCATTTTAAGAGTCAGCAATCGTTCCCTGTACCCTCTCGAGGAGTGTGACGAAATTTCTTGCAATGATGGAAAGTGTTTCCTCACATTTTAAGCGAATGAACTTCACAAACGAACCTAGGCAGATCACGAAAGCAAAGATTACCTGCAAAGCATTGTGTAACCGTTTAAAATCAGAGGACGGTCTAAGCGGGCAGTGCACCATTAGACCAAATACAGGATGAAGGTCCCACTATGAGTTGTGAACAATACCCGTCAGTAATTGAAGCAAATCCAGGCAAGGCGATATTATTTCAGATCCAGGCGACTTCACTTGTCATGCTTAGGTAAAACTACACAGAACCCTATCTCCCGATTCATGTAGTTCATACAGTTGGGGCTCGTTCACAGGTAAACCAAGCAATAAGTTGATCACCACTGTTCTGACGAAAAGGAAGCGAACAGGGGACATCGAAAGGCTAAGTGGTTCCTGGCACACCTGGTCAACATGTCATTCTAGTTTATGGATTCAAACTCTTAAAAACCCGTTGCACCGAAGTTCAAACTCAGTCCTGCGCAGCGTAGGTGAGTCAGAGAAAGGGAAGTAGGGTTATTCACTACTTTTGTTCACAAAACCAACAGCTTGGTGAGAAAAAGGTTCGAAATCGTAATAAGAATGAATCCGTTTCTCATTGATCCGATACTCAGCGCACGCAGTGCTGCCCCAATGTGAGTAAAGCTCATCTAGTGGTTTGGGTTTAAATACTGTCCCTGCGTGCAGGCTACTGACAGGGTTACCGCGAGCTGCATGGTCTGCACCTCCTCTATTGATCAAAATATATGATCGCGTGGGTGGAGCCGTAAGCGCGTCCAATTCAAGTTAAATGGGGATTTTCAAACTTTGTTCACAATTGGATATCGTGCATAATGTTGGAGCCAACTTCAATTGACTTGCCCTTCTTATGATGCGAGCAGACGAAACAGATTACTTCGGACGGAAATGACACCTTGCAACTAATCAGACATTACCAGAGGATTGTGTCTGATAAAGGTGCGCAACAGACCGACCGTCACGAAGAGACTGGGGATTACCGTAGTGTGACGGCTTGTTTGCTTCCCCGGCCAATTTAGCTATGAGAGAGGGCGTCTCTGACACCAAGTGAGTCGATGATTAAAAGTATGACCAATAGTCTCCTACCTTCTAGGTTGGGACATGTATGACGAATTATTTTGTGGAAATGGTATTGCACCAGCATTTCTCGCCAAACGCCGTTGTCTCATGGTCAGTCAAAGGATTTGGCAGAGGACCCTAATCATCCTCCTGTCTAAGTCTGGACGCACTGGAAAAGTCGCAGCCCACGACCGTGAACTGCACACTTATGGTTATACGACAGTGAGGGGTCAGTGTTGGGCATTGATGTTATGCTGTCAATGAGGATGAGCGGACTGATTTATGATCTTCAACCATATGTGCTTGTTTCGTCGGCGTCACCATGTTCCATTCATTCCCGTATATACTGTCAGTAAGCTGCGCTTTAGGCCCTGAGAGATGAACTGGGAGGAAGCGGTCCTTATGGCAATGGAAACGGTTCGTGTGCAGTTGGTTGTTATGCAAAAGCAAGCCGCACATCAAGCAATTCAACTCTAAAGTAAAACGCCACGACAAACCAGTCACGTTCGAAAGTATATGCTCATTGTCGAATTCGTATGGAAATAAAACTCAGGTACGCATGAAGTACAATGGACCGATGAGTATCTGTACTCATTGTCGTGACCTGACTGCGCGTGATTTATGCAGCAATTTAGGAAATGTTCGGCGATCAGCCACATTATACGACGGACAGGTCTTGTGCTTGCAAACCAAACGCAAAACAGCAACCGAATAAATAGGCAAAAAGAGCAAATTCTTGGCTGGCGCGAAATTCAATTTTTTAAAATTTCACTTACTAACAACACTGGGTTTCTCTGTGCTTGCATACGCACATGTTTTTAGTGGGGTGCGATATGAAGCATGAGATGCCATACGTACATCATACCTGACCGAATAAGCCCATATGCTTGTTAATCAAAGTTAGAATTTCCTAAAGTATAACTCTAAATACGAATCATAGAAACTGGCTAACCAAATGATTGTTTGAGTCACTAGCAATTGAATCGAGTGTCTCTAACAATCCGATACACGTTTATGAATTAAGCTATCAGGTTCATAGCTTACTAACGTGATACAAATGAGGTGCCATATTTAACCCACCCAAAAAAGACAGAGGCTTAGGGATGGGATACCTTTCGACCCTTATTAGACGTGTGCTGATTTTGTAACATTCCACTTCGAATATCGTCCGAAATGTTTTCGACTGGGGAGACCGTCCTTAGAGATAGATTAGGTATTGGTTGAATACGCAAGAAACCGGACAAAACTGATGTATTCAGCAAGAAGAAACCCCGTCAAACCTATCAGGAGACTCAGCATAAGAACACACTGGAAGCTAATTTCTGTATTGAAAAAGCAGAACAACTAAATAGCTTTTACGAATAGTATACAATGGTAAAGGCTCTTATAGTTGTCTTTACTGTTCCGAGTCGAATCAGGGGAATGCAAAATCGCGAGCAAGAAGATGGATCCACTGGGGAAGTAAATACACGGCCAGAGAAAAATAAGCGAATCTTTTAGTGCCAAGCGACCGGACAGCTTCCATCAGTGAAAGTTCCACTTTTCTGAAATGGCACATTCACGCCGGATCCAACGCGGTCGAGAGGTCTGTCTGTGAGTAAAAACGAATAAGGGTCGACGCGTGAGTCATCGGGATGGTGGCAGGTCAGATATGGAATAGAACTGACAAAGCAGTCGAGTGAAAGAAACAAACATACGGTAATGCAGAGTTCGAACGCGGTTCATGCTTTATAAAATGGGGATTATACTGGAACTGAGTGTTGGAAGAATAAGGTAGGCCAAAAATGACCAGTATCGTAAGTAATCCGCTTTTGATCGGTATCAGAATCACCCACAACAACAACAATGCGAAAATGGCGGAATGCAACACACCTCTAATCCGGTGCCAGACCTACCTGTCCTCCGAACAGGAGCATATGAGGTGTACTCATATGCAGTCCTGGATCATTCCTGGGAACACCGGACAGCGGAAAAGCTGAATTCATTCGAAAAAGAGCGAAAAGTCTCACACGCAACAAGAATCTAAATGA